TATATTAATTGGGGTAATTATTAGGGGTCAGATAGACTTGGTGGCGTTTACTTCATAATAATAATATTATTAATATAATTATTAGTATTATTGCTGGTATTAATCTTAGCAGCAGTAGTATTAGTATCAATATATTAATTGGGGTAATTAATAGGGGTCAGATAGACTTGGTGGCATTTACTTAATAATAATAATATTATTATTAAAATTGTTAGTATTAGTAGCATTATTGCTGGTATTAATCTTAACAGTAGTAGTATTAGTATTAATATATTAATTGGGGTAATGAACAGCGGTCAGATAGAGTTGGTGGCATTTACTTAATAATAATAATATTAATAATAAAATTATTAGTATTATTATTGCTGGTATTAATCTTAGCAGCAGTAGTAGCAGTATCAGTATTAATATATTAATTGGGGTAATTATTAGGGGTCAGATAGACTTGGTGGCATTTACTTCATAATAATTGGCAATTAATTAATTTTTAATTAATTAATTTATAACATTAATTAATTGATAAAGTTAATTAACAAATGGATTAATTTATAAAATTGATTGATTAATTAATTAATTGATTAAATCCCCTCGGATGCTCTGCTGGTATTGAGGGGGATTTGGGATCCCGGGAGCCTGGGCTGGATCCCACCAGGAGGAATAATAACATTATTAATGAAATTATTAGTATTATTAATAATAATATTATTAATAAAAATTATTAGTATTAGTAGCATTATTGCTGGTATTAATCTTAGCAGCAGTAGTAGTATTAGTATTAATACATTAATTGGGGTAATGAATAGCGGTCAGATAGAGTTGGTGGCATTTACTTAGTAATAATAATATTATTAATAAAATTATTAGCATTATTGTTGGTGTTAATCTTAGCAGCAGTAGTAGCAGTATTAGTATTACTACATTAATTGGGGTAATTATTAGGGGTCAGATAGACTTGGTGGCATTTACTTAATAATAATATTATTAATATAATTATTAGTATTATTGCTGGTATTAATCTTAGCAGCAGTAGTGTTAGTATTAGTATTAATATATTAATTGGGGTAATTAATAGCGGTCAGAGTTGGTGGCATTTGCTTCATAATAATTGGCAATTAATTAATTTTTAATTAATTAATTTGTAACATTAATGAATTGATGTAATCAATGGTATGGAGGGGATGTGGGGTCCCGGGAGCCTGGGCTGGACCCACCAGGAGGAGCCTCCAGGAGACACCAGGGGAGGTTCTGGGGAGCTCCTGCTGGGGCCGGACCTCAGGAACCGCGGCTGGAGCCCACCGGGTCCCACCAGGCACCACCAGGTCCCACCAGGTCCCACCAGGTCCCATCAGATCCCACCGGGTCCCACCAGGCACCACCAGGTCCCACCACGTCCCATCAAACCCCACCAGATCCCACCGGGTCCCACCAGGCACCACCGGGTCCCACCACGTCCCATCAAACCCCACCAGATCCCACCGGATCCCACCAGGCACCACCGGGTCCCACCAGGTCCCATCAAACCCCACCAGATCCCACCGGGTCCCACCAAAATCTCACCAGGTCCCACCAGGTCCCATCAGATCCCACCGGGTCCCACCAGGCACCACCAAAACCCCACCAAAATCCCACCAAAATCCCACCAGGTCCCACCAGATCCCACCAGGTCCCACCAGGTCCCACCAGGTCCCATCAAACCCCACCAGAGCCCACCAGGTCCCATCAGATCCCACCGGGTCCCACCAGGCACCACCAGGTCCCACCAGGTCCCACCAAAATCCCACCAGGTCCCACCAGGTCCCACCAGGTCCCATCAAACCCCATCAGGTCCCACCAGGTCCCACCAAAATCTCACCAGGTCCCACCAGGTCCCATCAGATCCCACCAGGTCCCACCAGGTCCCATCAGATCCCATCAAACCCCATCAGATCCAACCGGGTCCCACCAGACACCACCAAATCCCACGAGGTCCTACCAAATCCCACCAGGTCCCATCAGATCCCACCAAACCCCATCAAAACCCCATCAGATGCCACCGGTTCCCACGAGATCTCACCAAAATCCCACCAGGTCCCATCAAACCCCATCAGATCCCACCAGGTCCCATGAAATCCCCCCAGGTCCCATCAGATGCCACCAGATCCCCTGAAATCCCACCAAAATCCCACCAGGTCCCAGCAGGTCCCATCAAACCCCATCAGAACCCACCAGGTCCCATCAGATCCTATGAAATCCCACCAGATCTCACCAGGTCCTATCAGATACTGTCAGGAGTCTACAGATCCCACTGGATCCCACCGGATCCCACCAGGTCCCACCAGGTCCCACCAGGTCCCACCAAATCCCACCAGGTCCCACCAGGTCCCATTGGATCCCACCAGGTCCCATAAAACCCCATCAAATCCCACCAGGTCCCATCAAACCCCATCAGATCCCATCAAACCCCACCAAATCCCATCAGATCCTACCAGGTCCCACCAAAATCCCACCAGATCCCACCAGGTCCCATCAGATGCCACCAGATTCCATCAAATGCCTTTGAATCCCACCAAACCCCATCAGATCCCACCAGGTCCCACCAAAATCCCACCAGGTCCCATCAGATCCTACCAGATCCCACCAGGTCCCACCAAATCCCTTTGGATCCCACCAAGTCCCATCAAATCCCATCAGGTCCCATCAAATCCCACCAGGTCCCACCAGATGCCACCAGATTCCATCAAATCCCTTTGGATCCCACCAAACCCCATCAAATCCCACCAGGTTCCACCAGGTCCCATCAGATCCCACCAGATCCCCCCAGATTCCACCAAACCCCATCAGGTCCCACCAAAACCCCACCAGGTCCCATCAGATCCCACCAAACCCCACCAAAATCCCACCAGATTCCACCAGGTCCCACCAGATCCCACCAAAATCCCACCAAGTCCCACCAGGTCCCATCAAAACCCCATCAGATGCCACCAGGTCCCACGAGATCTCACCAAATCCCTTTGGATCCCACCAGGTCCCACTGGATCTCACCAGGTCCCACCAGGTCCCATCAGATCCCATAAAACCCCACCAAATCCCATCAGACCCCACCAGGTCCCACCAAATCCCACCAGGTCCCACCAGGTCCCACCAGGTCTCACCAGGTCCCACCAAGTCCCACCAGGTCCCACCAAATCCCATCAAATGCCACCAGATTCCATCAAATCCATTTGGATCCCACCAAACCCCATCAGATCCACCAGGTCCCACCAAAATCCCACCAGGTCCCATCAGAGCCCATCAAATCCCACCAAAATCCCACCAGGTCCCACCAGGTCCCATCAGATCCTACCAGATCCCACCAGATTCCACCAAACCCCACCAGGTCCCACCACATCCCACCAAAACCCCACCAGGTCCCATCAGATTCCACCAGGTCCCATGAAATCCCACCAGGTCCCATCAAACCCCATCAAATCCCACCAGGTCCCACCAAATCCCTTTGGATTCCACCAGACCCAATCAGGTCCCACCAAATCCCACCAGACCCCATCAGATGCCACCAGATTCCATCAAATCCCATCGGATCCCACCAGGTCCCACCAAAATCCCACCAGGTCCCACCAGGTCCCACCAGCTCCACCCTCTGGAGGTCCTCTCTCCGTCTTCTCCTGGGCTCCACCCCAAAGCCCAGCCCGGTCTCCTGGCCGGGGTTGGGTTCAGAGGTTCCTCAGAGGTTCCTCCCCACCCCAACCATTCCGTGGCTCCATCAGAGGAGTCCATGGTGCGAGGCCACCCGGTGGAGATGTCCAGGAGGCCCCACCGGGTCCCCAGAGCTTCTTCTGGGATGGTCCAGAAAGTTCCACCAGGTCCCACCAAGGGTTGGTCCAGAAGGTCCCACCGGGTCCCCAGAGATTCTCCTGGGATGGTCCATAAGGTTCCACCAGGTCTTCAGGGTTTTTTGGATGGTCCAGAAGGTTCCACCAGGTCCCTGGGACTGTTGGGATGGTCCAGAAGGTCCCAGGGCTTCTCCTGGGATGGTCCAGAAAGTTCCACCAGGTCTCCAGGGCTTCTCCTAGGATGGTCCAGAAGGTCCCACCAGGTCCCTGGGGCTGTTGGGATGGTCCAGAAGGTTCCATCAGGTCTCCAAGGCTCTGGGAATGATCCAGGAGGTCCCACCAGGTCCCCAGAGATTCTCCTGGGATGGTCCATAAGGTTCCACCAGGTCTTCAGGGCTTCTTCTGGGGTGGTCCAGATGGTTCCACCAGTTTCCCAGGGCTCTGGGATGGTCCAGAAGGTCCCAGGGCTTCTCCTGGGATGGTCCAGAAGGTCCCACCAGGTCCCCAGGGCTGTTGGAATGGTCCAGGAGGCCCCACCAGGTTCTCAGGGCTACTTCTGGGATGGTCCAGGAGGCCCCACCAGGTCTTCAGGGTTGGTGGGATCGGCGTCATCTCCTCACTGGAGAACATCAGGAACAGGAGATGGGGTGAAGATGGAAGTGGTGGCACCTGGAGAGGACAGATGGGGTGGGAGCGGTGACCGTGGCAGTGGTGGCCTCCAAAAGGCACCCGAGATGGAGGCACCAAAAGCCACCCGAGATGAGATGGAGCCGCCACGGAGCTCCAGAGCTCCACCTTGGGCGGTTCCTCCGAGGTTCTTGAGAGGTTTGAGGAGGACGAGGTCCCTCTGAGGGTGGTGACAAGGATGGAGATGGAGAAGGACCATGGGGAGGGGACAGGGAGGGGACAGGAGCTCTGCCAGGTCCTGGAGGTGGAGTCACCAAAAGCCACCCGAGATGGAGCCATCAAAAGGCACCTGAGATGGAGCCACCACGGAGCTCCAGAGCTCCACCTTGGGCGGTTCCTCCCAGGTTCTTGAGAGGTTTGAGGAGGACAAAGGATGGAGATGGAGAAGGACCACGGGGAGGGGACAGGAGCTCTGCCGGGTCCTGGAGGTGACATCCCACCCCCTGGAGGTGACGTCCCACCCCCTGGAGGTGACGTCCCACCACCTCGGTGTCTCTCTTGCAGGGGTGGCCATCAGCACCTACGCCCGGTACTGCTACAGCAAACTGCAGAAGGCGGCGCTGACCGGGGCCAAGAAGGTACCGGGACAGGGGTGGCCTGGCCAGGGGGGACAACCCGGGGACAACCCGGGGACAACCCGGGGACAAGGAGGTCACGTCCCACCGGGGTCATCCTGGAGCTCCTGGGGTCGGGGAAGGGGCTGGAGGAGGGAGGGAGGCAGTGGAAGGAGGTGGTGGTGGGGAGGAGAACTTGTGGAGAACTTGTGGAGAACTTGTGGAGGCCTGGAGATCTTCTGGAGAGCATCTAAGGAACTTCTGGAGAACTTCTGGAGAACTTCTGGGGATCTTCTGGAGACCTGGAGATGTCCTGGAGAGCATCTAAGGAACTCCTGGAGAACTTCTGGGAACCATCTGGAACATTCCTGGAGAACTTCTGGAGAACTTCTGGGGAACTTCTGGAGAACTTCAGGAGGCCTGGAGATCTTCTGGAGAGCATCTAAGGAGCTTCTGGAGAACTTCTGGGGATCTTCTGGGGATCTTCTGGAGAACTTCTACAGACCTGGAGATCTTCTGGACAGCATCTAAGGAACTTCTGGAAGTCTTCTGGAGAACTTCTGGACAACACCTGAGGACCTTCTGGGAACCTTCTGGAACATTCCTGGAGAACTTCTGGGGAACTTCTGGAGAACTTCTGGAGATCTTCTGGAGATCCTCTGGAGACCCTCAGGAGATCTTCTGGAGAACATCTAAGGAGCTTCTGGAGAACTTCTGGGAATCTTCTGGGACATTTCTGGAGAAATTGTGGGGAGCTTCTGGGAGGCTTTTGAGGATCTTCTGGAGAACTTCTGAGAACCTTCTGGGAACCTTCTGGGAAGCCTGAAAGGATCTTCTGGGCACCTCTTAAAACCCATCTGGGGAACTTCTGGAGAACTTCTGAGAACTTCCTGAAGAGTTCTGGAGACCACCTGGAAATTTTCTGCAGAATTTCACCTTTGGGGACATTCTGGGAACCTTCTGGAAACTTCTCAAGGACCTTCTGTGGACCTTCAGAAGATGTTCCAGAGACCATCAGGAGATCTTCAGGAGACCTTCTGAGAACCTGGCAGGGAGGAGCTTCTGGGAATTATCTGAGGAACTTCTGGAGAACTTCTGGGATTCTTCTGGAGACCTTCTGAAGACCTTGTGGAGACCTTTTAAGGACCTTCTGTGGAACTTCTGAAGACATCCTGGAGACTGACCGAGGATCTTCTGGGGATCTTCTGGGGATGCTCTGGGAACTCTCTGGAGATCTTGCAGGACCTTCTGGGAACCTTTTAAGGACCTTCAGAAGAACTTCTGAGAGTCCCCCAGAGACCTTCTGAGGACTTTCTGGAGACCTTCTGGGGATTTTCTGGGGACTTTCTGAGGACATTCCAGAGACCATCTGGGGAACTTCAGGAGACCTTCTGGGAACTCTCTGGAGACCTCCTGGAGCTTCCTCAGGAACTTCTGGAGACCTTCTGGAAACCTCATGGGGAGGGACCTTCTGGGAACTTCCTGAGGAACTTCTGGAGACCTTCTGGGAACTCTCTGGAGACCTTCTGGAAGCTTCCTGAGGAACTTCTGGAGACCTCCTGGGAACCTTATGGGGAGGGACCTTCTGGGAACTTTCTGAGGAACTTCTGGAGAACCTCTGGAAACTCTCTGGAGACCTTCTGAGAGCTTTCTAAGGAACTTCTGGAGACCTTCTGAGGACTCTCTGGACACCTCCTGGGAGCTTTTTAAGGAACTCTCTGGAGACCTTCTGAGAACTTTCTGAGGAACTCCTGGGGACCTTATGGGGACTCTCTGGAGACCTTCTGGGAGCTTTCTGAGGAACCCCTGGAAGCCCAGCAGGGATGTCCAGCTTTCCAGAAGAAATCCAGAGCGGTGGCTCCTTCTCCTACTGGACAAATCCATCGGTGGAGAAGCTCGAACGTGGCCATGGTCCCACCAAGCTCCATGGGGTTCGATGGATGGATGATGGATGGATGGATGATGGATGGATTGATGGATGGATGATGGATGGATGGATGATGGATGATGGATGGATGGATGGATGGATGGATGATGGATGATGGATGGATGATGGATGATGGATGGATGGATGGATGGATGGATGATGGATGATGGATGATGGATGGATGATGGATGATGGATGGATGATGGATGGATGGATGGATGGATGATGGATGGATGGATGATGGATGATGGATGGATGGATGGATGGATGGATCCATGGATGGATGGATGGATGATGGATGATGGATGGATGATGGATGGATGGATGGATGATGGATGGATGGATGATGGATGGATGGATGGATGGATCCATGGATGGATGGATGGATGATGGATGGATGATGGATGGATGGATGGATCCATGGATGGATGGATGGATGATGGATGATGGATGGATGATGGATGGATGGATGGATGATGGATGGATGGATGATGGATGGATGGATGGATGGATCCATGGATGGATGATGGATGATGGATGGATGATGGATGGATGGATGGATGGATGGATGGATGGATGATGGATGGATGGATCCATGGATGGATGATGGATGGATGGATGGATGGATGATGGATGGATGATGGATGGATGGATGGATGGATGATGGATGGATGGATGATGGATGATGGATGGATGGATGGATGATGGATGGATGGATGGATGGATGGATGATGGATGATGGATGGATGGATGGATGGATGGATGATGGATGGATGGATGATGGATGGATGGATGATGGATGATGGATGATGGATGGATGGATGGATGATGGATGGATGGATGGATGATGGATGGATGGATGGATGGATGGATGATGGATGATGGATGGATGATGGATGATGGATGGATGGATGGATGGATGGATCCATGGATGGATGGATGGATGATGGATGGATGATGGATGGATGGATGGATCCATGGATGGATGGATGGATGATGGATGATGGATGGATGATGGATGGATGGATGGATGGATGGATGGATGGATCCATGGATGGATGATGGATGATGGATGGATGATGGATGGATGGATGGATGGATGGATGGATGGATGGATGGATGATGGATGGATGGATCCATGGATGGATGATGGATGGATGGATGGATGGATGATGGATGGATGATGGATGGATGGATGATGGATGGATGGATGATGGATGGATGGATGGATGGATGATGGATGGATGGATCCATGGATGGATGATGGATGGATGATGGATGGATGGATGATGGATGGATGATGGATGATGGATGGATGGATGGATGATGGATGATGGATGGATGGATGGATGGATGATGGATGATGGATGATGGATGGATGGATGATGGATGGATGGATGGATGGATGATGGATGGATGATGGATGGATGATGGATGGATGATGGATGGATGGATGGATGGATGGATGATGGATGGATGGATGGATGGATGATGGATGGATGATGGATGGATGGATGATGGATGATGGATGGATGGATGGATGATGGATGGATGGATGGATGATGGATGGATGGATGGATGGATCCATGGATGGATGATGGATGGATGGATGGATGATGGATGGATGGATCCATGGATGGATGATGGATGATGGATGGATGGATGGATGGATGATGGATGATGGATGATGGATGGATGGATGATGGATGGATGGATCCATGGATGGATGATGGATGGATGGATGGATGATGGATGGATGGATGATGGATGGATGGATGGATGGATGGATGGATGATGGATGGATGGATGGATGGATGGATGGATGGATGATGGATGATGGATGGATGGATGGATGATGGATGGATGGATGATGGATGATGGATGATGGATGGATGGATGGATGATGGATGATGGATGATGGATGATGGATGATGGATGATGGATGGATGGATGGATCCATGGATGGATGATGGATGGATGATGGATGGATGGATGATGGATGGATGATGGATGATGGATGGATGGATGGATGGATGATGGATGATGGATGATGGATGGATGGATGATGGATGGATGGATGGATGGATGATGGATGATGGATGGATGGATGATGGATGGATGGTTGGATGGATGATGGATGGATGATGGATGGATGGATGATGGATGATGGATGGATGGATGGATGATGGATGGATGGATGGATGATGGATGGATGGATGGATGGATCCATGGATGGATGATGGATGGATGGATGGATGATGGATGGATGGATCCATGGATGGATGATGGATGATGGATGGATGGATGGATGGATGATGGATGATGGATGATGGATGGATGGATGATGGATGGATGGATCCATGGATGGATGATGGATGGATGGATGGATGATGGATGGATGGATGATGGATGGATGGATGGATGATGGATGGATGGATGGATGGATGGATGGATGATGGATGATGGATGGATGGATGGATGATGGATGGATGGATGGATGGATGGATGGATGATGGATGATGGATGGATGGATGATGGATGATGGATGGATGGATGGATGGATGGATGATGGATGATGGATGGATGATGGATGGATGGATGGATGATGGATGGATGGATCCATGGATGGATGGATGGATGATGGATGGATGGATGGATGATGGATGGATGGATGATGGATGATGGATGATGGATGGATGGATCCATGGATGGATGATGGATGGATGGATGGATGGATGATGGATGGATGATGGATGGATGGATGATGGATGGATGATGGATGGATGGATGATGGATGGATGATGGATGATGGATGGATGGATGGATGGATGATGGATGATGGATTATGGATGGATGGATGATGGATGGATGGATGGATGGATGATGGATGATGGATGGATGGATGATGGATGATGGATGGATGGATGGATGATGGATGGATGGATGGATGATGGATGATGGATGGATGGATGATGGATGGATGGATCCATGGATGGATGATGGATGATGGATGGATGGATGGATGGATGATGGATGATGGATGATGGATGGATGGATGATGGATGATGGATGGATGGATGGATCCATGGATGGATGA